AAAAAAAAAAAAAACAAAAAAAAACAAACAAACACCCATGATGGAAGAAATTATAAATCATTCTAAGTCACATCTCGTGTACGTAAAGGAACAAGTACAAACACATTTTCAAGAAGTCTCTATCAGCCAAAAAAGAAAATGTATATTTGGCATCATACAAAATTAGGAAAACACTATGGAACCAAAATTTTTACCAAGTATGGAGTAACACAAACAACTTGGCTTCAAATCGCTACCCGCTGTCGTTTTGCAGATGCATCTACATTATCGTTATCTGCTGCACTCACAGCCCCACATCCCTTATCCTTGTTCTTGAAGGTCCAGCCCGGAAAATCAGATTCAGAAAACAAATGTGTTGGAGTTGCTTTATAGAATGCCAATGGTACTTGTTTGACCCTTCTTCTAATCTGCAAACCAATAAAAGACGAAGATTCATCACTATACTGAAAAATCAGGTAAGTCGATCAAGGGGCAAAATTAGAGTACGAATTTACAATTTAGACATTTAGATACCAGCATTTAACCGAAACATTGAAACATCAATAAAGCGATTTCTTTTTTTTTTTACCTCATCACTGAAGATTGTCGAATAGGAACCCGAACTAAAATCTTTGACTGAAACTTCAGCCGTTTTAGTCCTGAATGCCAGATCATTCTCCATTGACAAAACGAATCTGTTGTTTCATAGAAGAATATTATTGAAGTTAGAAAAATAGTTAAGAATTAAAGTGGTAAGTACAAAAAGGCAATTGTAGTTTAGTAGACACACCTTGAAACTGGAGGGCTGTAATGATGGCGAAGCGTGTCAATCTCCCAGAGTGAGCTCCCTGTCGTTTCCAATAAATAAGACAAAAGTTCAATCAAGATTTACACACCACAAGAAAACTGGGAAAGTAGTAACTACCACAAAGGTTAAGTCAGCTTTGCTAGTGGCTTCCGGGGGAAACTTAGGTTGTATTTGGTAAGCATATAAGCTAGCTTATAGCTTATTTGATTAGCTTATAAGTTTCCTGCATGCAAATAAGCTTGGTTTGGTAGGATGAGTTTTTTAAAAAGCTTAAGCTTATCTCATAAGCTTTCTTGGGTAGCTTTTCAAATAAGTCCATTGAAATTTATTTCAGCTAATTTTACCAAACACTTTTATCATATAAGCTAACTTTTCAGCCACAAGTCATAAGCTATCAGCTATAACCTCGAAATTCACTTAAAAGCTAGCTAGTGGATTTACCAAACATAACCTTATGTTTTTTTCCTCCTTACTATTAACACCTATCCTTAACCGAGGTGCATGGACGTACAGGCAAAACAAACTGAATATATCTGGTTACGACTAAATACACTCACCAGTAATAAATAGTCCTTTATATTAACATAGTGAAACCTCATTAACCCGGACACTTTTCTGGAGTGCACCTACTTAATAATACCCCCGACCAAATTCAGAAATGAATTAAAATTGCAGATGGAAGATGTTCAGGTACACCCCCTAAGTTCCTCTAATGCCAACCTTGTACAATTTCTTCTTATGTAAACTTCACGTTCATTTACGGGTAATGCTGAAAATAGAAAATGAAGCTTACTCATTGCATTAGTATCTTTCGGATTGGTTTCCTCATTTTTGAAGTGGTCAATTCCAGACTTCTCCTTCATTAACTCCCCATTAGTGCTTCCATCTTCAAGATCTTGGAAACTGCTTTTTCCTTCACCGGAAGTTTCTTCAGTAGAATCCGTATTACCTTCCTAAATAATTTAACACATACATCAATATATATATATACATACTTCACAGCAACTAAAGGAACAAACAGAAGGGATTATGTTGGATGCTTCCATGCAATTTGCATTCAAATGATGTCCTCAAAATTATGCAGCAACTCAGTTATTATTGTATTTAACATTTCAACCGCAAAGTGTCCAAATTACTGCCTACGATGGAAAGTAACTCAAAACAAGGATATTGGAGCTCATATCCATCAATTGTCACTAAAACTATATACATTTCCTTCTGGAGCGCCTAGAGGTATCTTGAATGCTTTCCCCACCTCAAGACAACAAGTCATGTCTACAAGTTTTTTTTCTGCTATGCCTGTCAGTTGTCTCTCGAATTAAACTAAAAGAAAATGTCCGAAAAAATCCACAAGTTGCAAGATATCTTATGAGAGTGTAAGTGTTGGCCAGTTCGAGGAAATTGGATAAGTATGTTTACATCCAACTGCCAAAATAAAAGGCTTAACATGACAGATGACATTTCAGACCAACATAAACTTACATCCATATCACCAGAAGAACATGTTATTTCTTAATGAAAGAAGGAATAAAAGAACTCTTACTCGATGCACCAAACAATTAATGGAAGGATGTCTCTGTAAAAGGTTGTGAACCAATGCAATGATGACTAGTGCTCCAGATGGAGGTACAGAGAGCGCAAGTCTGCTCAACTTTTTACAGAAAGCAGCAGTCAGATAAGCTGGAAGGAGTGATGATTTCAAACATGAGTCGAGCAGCTGATGATGACACATTATATAAAAGTGGTTAGAAACAAATTTCATAACTACACTCATCCAAGGAAAGGTACACATATCATGGCTGCATTAAGCATGTGGCGTACCTATTGCATGATAATAAATATAGTAACCAATAGAAGCAAACACAACGGTTATAGATCTTGCTTTGGGTTTATAGGCATAGCATTTTGGCTAACTCTTTTCCATAGATTTAATACATACGACACTTCTCTATCAATTACGCAAAAAACTCGGAAACAAAATTCTAGCATGCAGACAAGATTGGGTGCAACGAAAGTTGGTCGTTTAACAAAAGAAACTGGTGTAGTCAAATATTTGTGAGTAAAACTAGTTCACAAGAACTGGAAAAGTACTCTTCTAAGTTCAAACAACATGGATTTAACAGTTCCGGTTAGTTGACGTAGAGTCCTCGCATGTGATACAAGCAATCTTGGAGTTATCTTCATCATGATATTATATAGGTGAGAATAGTAGCATCAAGGGGTATTCTAAAGTTTGAATGTGAAAGTGAAAATAACATATATGCCTATATGGAACGTGGAAAACCAGTCCTGCGTTCTCCTAAGACCTCATTCTTAAATAGTTGATTCTCCTTGTTACCCATCTACATTTTATGGATTACTGCAGCATAATTAGAAGGGTTAAACATAGCAGCATTAGAAACACGTCAAAATGTCATAATGCTGCGAATAAGCATATTCAAAAAGGACAAATAGTAGTAGCATCTTTAGAGTTCTCACATTAGTACGCTAGAAAGTTCAGTATAAACCACTTTGTATGCAAAAGTCAACTAGTCACATGCATGTAGACAGCCTTTACCTCGAAAAATTTTGCTCGATGTTTTGCCATGAAGATAGATGGCTCCAACAATGCATAGAGTTTATCGTAGAAGTTGGGATATTCAAGGCCATGTTGTGTCATGAGAATAAATAGGCTGCTAAGAGCCATAACACTGACCACACCACCGACATCATATGACTGAGTCAAGAAATCACTGCATAGAGTTCAGAGATAAAAAAATAAAAAATAAAAAAATAAAAAAATAAAAAATAAAATAAAATAAAAATGGTTTAAGCATGAAAGAATAAGTACATCTTGAACAAGCAATCAAAAAATTCTGCATTACTTACCACAGCATTATTGGATTAGAGAGATATGGAATGACAGCCTGATGAAGTTTAACAAGAACCTGTACAGTAAATGGCGGACATATGAGAAAAGAAGCTGAAGGCAAGTCTCATTCACAAATAGACATAGCTCAGGAAAAGCCTCGCGGTTAAAGATCTAAAGGACTAGTTCATAAAAACAGAAGAGGCACAAATATTCAGTGAAACTGCTGAAAATAAATTTTTTGTTTTATTATTACTGACGCAATGTGGCTTGTGGGCAGACTACCAAAAAATTTCCGGAATTAATTAGCTACTACTTCTTTTCCATGGCATTCCTTTTATGCGAAATAAATGATCAGGTGAAAAAGCTTGTTACTAAAGACGCAATCTAGAAACTAGGCCATCAAGTCTCAGATGAATGCTGATTCTTCAAAACCTTTGTTTGATGGTTTAGAATGGCAACACAATGAGAACATACATGGAGAAAATGAAACACACAATGACATAAGAATATATCAGAGCAGCAAAGTCATATGCTGGCAACACGTGATAGCATTACCTCCTTGTATACATCAAGAGGAAGGGGCAATCTGAGGAACGATATCCATGCTTTACTTAACTTCAGCTTCATTTTCTTTGAGACATCCCGAGATGATAACACCTGCGGAAGTACCAAAAGAAGTCATGCTTGAATGGAAACCACCGCCAAAGTTTCTATTTATGGGAGGTGCTTTTTACCAGAGTGTGCCAATAGAACATACCTTGTCATTAGGTTGTTGGGACTTGACCTGCTTCTCTTTCAAGGTGACATTTTCTTTATTATTTCTTTTCTCGAAAAAAATGCCTATTATGGGAAAGAAAAAACCAAACACTTGTCAACAATAAATTTACAGCAGGCAACATAAACAGGAAACATGCAGCTAAAAGATCAAAATATGTGCAGAACATTGTCTTTTTCAATGCAAAACAACATTCAGTGCCATTAGCCAGTGAGAATATAATTCGATATTATATAACAAGTTCTTCAGAGCATACAAGAATTCACACACCATGAAAAAAGTTAAACTACTATATCACACCAATTATAATATTGTATAAACTCGTAGTAGGTTATTATAATCATACCGTATATTGCGACTAAAATATATACGAAGTTCATTGCCAACCATTACATAATAATATATAAAGTAACTGCAATGATGTACCTGAGGTATTCCTACCCTTGGTGTCCAAATAGTTTCACGTTACCAATCAATAGGTTACGTAAACATAATAATGGAGTAGTTTCCATGTACTTTAGGGTCCATATGAAGTCGGTAATCAGGTAGCCAACTTTCTTTAACATAAACCGGATCGCATATCAATGATAATAATGCGGATAAAAATTAGCAACATGATGCCTGACTTTACAGATAAAACTACGCAATCTCCAAAAGAACTATAGTTTGCATTTGTATTCAATGTTTTAATAGGGTTAAAAAATTATATATTCTACCAAAGAAAATTAAGAAAACAATGGTGCGATGAAAGACAGAAAAGAGTACCTGAACCATTCAACATCTCTAAATTTTCTTCTGAAACTTCTAGTGACGGGATGTGAGATAGTAAATTATGTATCTTCCGAACGGAAAGCTCCAAGCTACATACACAAAATGAAAAGAATTATATGTTCCTCTTCTCTGTAGTGAAACACAAAACATTCAAGGCAGAAGAAAACAGAAGATAGTAAATTGGAGAAATATAATCATAAGGAATTTCAGCCATTGTTATAACTATGGCCGTTGTGGAAAGTTTTTCTTGCGTCCACAGCAAACTACTTCTTTTACAATTAGTATATAACAGTGCCAAAACAGATACTGCACATATATTGAGGTTATTCTTGCCATGACAAAGAACATGAATTGAGTGTTGATGCGTTGAAGATATATGCGGCTATTCGATGCATGAACAAAGTAGAAGCCCTAACACAAATGTCTAGGTCAGGCTTTAGGTTCACTCAAATAATTAGTCGACCACCTCCAAATTAAGAGGATATTATTGTAGTTTCACCAACTTCATTTTGTATTCCACAATATTAACCTTGGTCTTGAATGGGTATTACTCTGAGCATCTAGGTTTACATTCCTGTCTCCTGCAGGAACAAAGAAAGATACTATTTGATTTAGCCAGAACTGCAAGCAACGAAGGCTAACACTATTACAACACAGCGGTAATCATTCTATATTCATTGATAACTAGCATAAAGGTCAACAGTAGAAATACCTTCAACTTCCAAAGTCCGAGCCTGCTTTTCCAAACTAATGTAGGTGAAATAACTGCCCAACAATAGCAATTAAACATAATAAGTTAGAGGTGAAAGGCTGAAATAACATGTTCTTTAAATATATGTCGCATGAGCCAAATAGCATACAGAAAACAAAATTGCAAGAGGTAAAGTATGTTAGTATTCTTGAAAGTTCATATACTATAACTACCTTTTGAAGAACCTTCATTTCATGAGAACTAAAATTAATAGTTACATTTTATGTCATAGTTTTTATCAAGCTCTAGGAATATCGATACATGGTACAAAATATGCCATCAAGAACACTAAGACATACCGAACATCAACATAATTGAAATACTTGGTTGCAAGCAAATCTAATAATATGTCATCAACGCTCAATTCCGAGTGCACCTGCAAGCATGAGCCAAAGCATTACAGAGAGGAAAAAGGTTAACTCCCTACTAAAGAAAAAAAAAGACCTCTCTTTTATCATTTTCTTTTTTCGATTTTAATGGCTGCACTTACAATAGCACGGAGAAGCTTGTGATAAATAGAGGAATGAAACTTCCCCGCATTCCCAACCTTCACAAACTCCATTATCGTGTCCAGCACAACTTCCTGCGGAAAAGAAAACAAAAATGAATTGCATTCAGACAAAAGCTCAAACACATTGAACGCAAACCCAACAATGACTGCCAAACACAAAAAATTGAAAGGCAAAAAAAAGAGTTTCATCTTAACATACCCTAAGAGCATCATCCGATTGCAAGGAGACAACAACATCAACTAGCCGCCCGATAAAATCATCGAACTTGGACCGCAGCCACGTGCGATATATCAATTCCGGGTCGGGCTCCGAGCCCGAATACGCCTGCGAAGACGACGAGGGGAGCTGTGGGACGAGGGGAGTGAAGAACGACTGCAGCGAGAGGAGCGACTCCAGAGCGTGCTGCGGAGGCGAGCTGGGGCTGATGAAGGTGAGGAGAATAGGGAGGTTGTTGACGTGTGCTCGTGACGTCAGCAGCTCCTCCCCGAGCTTTTTCAGATCCGAAAGACTGTGATTCTCTCTCTTCCTCTTCTGCACCTTCTTCGTCTTCTTCGTCAAGACGGAAGCCATGGCGGTGCCGGAGAGTGGGCGCGCGAGAGGGACGACAAGGGTTTATCGGGTGGGTTTTAAAGTGGTTTGGTTATTAAACATAAGCCCCTTTATTGTCACGGATTTTGCAAAATGTCCCTTTTAATTTCGGAAATAGCATAAAGGGCCCAATAAAATCCAAATGTTTGCTTTAGGCTCATTTTGTTGTGTGGGTTCTTAGTTCTTACACAATCAATACAAAGGAATACATATATATTAACTGATTCAAACATGACACTTCTTACATACACTCCCCAAACTATTTCCTTCCAAAGTCCAAACTCTAATGTTTTTACACAAGAATCAAAACATAAGAGCAAACTACTATTGACCCAACAAAATCTCAAACTCCATGAAACCCAACTTTGTTGCTCTTTGTATCGGCACCCGACTTTTTCGCCCCCATCGCGAAGAACTCGGTTATAACCTCAAGCGGCATGCCCTTAGTTTCTGGAACTTTCCAGTACACGAAAGCCCACGAAACCAAGCTAGCAAACGCGTATATGCTGAAAGCACCCGATATCCCGATCGACGACAACATCATGGGCAACGAGTAAGTAACCATAATATTACATATCCAATACGTAAGTGCGCACATGGCTATGCAAACTCCTCGAACTTTCGTTGGGAAAATTTCCGAACACAAAATGTTGGGAATCGGACCGAATCCCATGGAGAAGAAACAACTGTACAGAACGACGCTAGCTGTCGACACGGCTGCTTTGACAGCTGTCCTCACGTGCACGAGCTGCATCACGACCAAAGTTACGAGGCTTGCTGTAAGTATCGGGTTCGTGTTCAGCAGTAAACTCCTGCAGGGTAAAAAAAAAAATGCGAATTCGTAAATGTTATTTACGATGAAAGAAAATGCTCGGGAGATGAAAATCGAAAATCTTTTATTTACCTTCTGCCTGATACATCCATAAGTCTCATGGCAATAATAACGCACAAGAGCGTTAGCAAGATCATGACGGCACTAATAAGCAAAGATGCCTTGTCAGGACTAATCCCTATGTCCGAAAAAAGCACTTGAACGCCAGCTTGCTCGAGAATTTGAGGCGTGTAATAAGAGATAGCATTTATGCCCAAGAACTGGCATCGATCGAAAAAGTAAGTATATAATTACTAGGTTGAAAAAAAAAAGCATAATGATCGGAAAAGTATAAACTCGAGTTTCTCATCTGGCAGAAGGTACTGTTTATAAGATGCTTATACTGCAAACTAAATATTCTTCACTTGAATAACACCTTATATGCTTACCAAACATAGTCGACAAAACTTGATATACCTGTTGTAGCATTTGAATCCCCATCCCTACTACTAACGCATGCTTCACTCCAGGCTCAAACAGATCGTTCCACTTGGGCCCTTTCTCAGCAACCACAGATGGGTGGACCACTGCTGGTCCCACCGTGGGCTGATCCATTAACCGGCCCGAACACAGAGCCGATTGGCTCACCAGGCCCGAAGCCCGCATGGAGTCACTTTCATGGAGATAAACTCTCTTGAAACTCCCTTGCCCTTCCTTCCACTTCCACGCCAGCTGCCAACCGCCGTTCTTCTCCGACCCATCCCCAAGCAAGTGACTTTCATGCTTCATTTTATTGTAGCTTCCGAAGTTCGAGTGGTGTGGGCTCGTCAAGTTCCCACAACTCGTTCCCTGGCGTGAGATAAGCGGGCTTTGCAGAGATTCTTCGGTATCACTAACGGGCCCGCTGTTGGACTCATAATCCTCATCCGACTCGTCGTTGTTGTTCTTGGGCTGGTTGCTGAACATGCTGGCAAGATGTGGGAAGAAATAACTCCCCTTGCTTCCTGAAGCTTCGGGAAGCTTCTCGTGCACGCTGTCGAAGAGCGTAACAACGGGGTCTTGATGGCGGGAGAGAATGCTGCTGGTGAAGCTTTGGGTGGGGATGCGAAGAGCAATAACCGACGAGAGTCCCTCTGGTCGGATTAATTCTTCCTTGTCGTTCACGGTCGATTTTTCCTCTTCGAGAAGCTCGTTCGATGGTGCGATTATGTATTCCTCGATGGAAATATCTTCACCGACCTCGAGGCCTTCGACTAGAAAAGCCATCTCACCTGGTATAGATTCCGGTTAGTGGCTTTCTTTATTTACAGTATTATTTTAGATACGGTTCGTTTCAAATTAAGTGACTAATGTTAGTTAGCACGAACAAGATACAATATAGAAATCATTTTGCTTGTTCAAACGATGAACATTAATCTTCCCTTTGTTCGACATCTATATTAGACATTTTTTACCTTTCGACTAATATGGTGTGGTTTTGACTTTTGAGTGAATGTTTGTGTGCTTGTGGAACAGCAAATTGACAATCAAGTAACAAAGAAAAGAATGTGACTGGCTTCAAAGTGCAAATGCAAAAGAATGTGACTCTATCAATCACTGCACGAACAAAAACGAACACCGACGTTTTCTTACCTTCCGACTACTTATGGTGTGGTTTTGAGTGAATGTGTGTGCTTGTGGAGCAGCAATTGTCCAATCAAGTAACAAAGAAAGAAAATGCAGCTGCCTATAAGCGCAAATGCAAAAAGAGTAACATTCCAGCCAAGCAATTGTCTATCAATTTCTGCACAAACGAAAAGAAACAAACATCGAGAAAAAAGTCAAAAACTCACCGGAAACATCCTCCTTCCCACGGAGCCTCTGCAAAACCCGCTTAGCCTCAAGCATACGCCCCTTGCTCAGAAGCCACCTAGGTGACTCGGGCAAGTAAAACGCCGTAAGAACAAAATAAACCAACGAAGGCCAAGCAAGAAAACCGAGCGTGAGCCTCCAGCTAGATGACCCAGCCAAAGCCACACAGAAAACCAATGCATACGACAAAAACATGCCGCTCGTGTACATAAACTGAGGGAAAGTGCTCAAAAGACCCCTAATCTCGGGAGGGGACATCTCAGAAATGTACAAAGGGGCAATTGTGACGGATAATCCAATCCCAAAACCATCGAGCAGCCTTGCAAAGAGGAGCAATCGGATGCTCGGGGCCCACAACATGAAGAGGCTGCTGATGAAGTACAATGCAGAGGATATAATCAACATGGGCCGGCGGCCCAGCCAGTCGGAGAGCCCACCGGAACAGAATGTGATTATTGTGCCGCCGATTAGGGACATGGCCACAGTCAGGCCCACCATGCCCGGCTCGTTTTCCCAGTTGAATTCCCGCTTTATGTGGACGATGCCAACTGGTTTTTTTTACGCAGAATCAAAATGATTATAACTAACTAACTAACTCAATAGAGGAGAAAACAGTAAGGCTGAAAAGTGAAAACAACATAAATATATAAAGATTCGATCTTTCATGACATATGTATTCATTTTTGCTTAAAAAAAATGTATGATGAATCGACCCGTCTAACGGTTAGGTCGGTTTTTACACAAGAATTTGTTCGGGGAAAATCGAAAAGGGGTCTAACCAACCAGCCATTGTAGCGTTGTCCCATCCTTGTATCAAATTGCCAAGGGCAGCCACAACAGCCACGAGCATAGCAGCTCTCATTCTCTCCTTCGTATTTTGTGGCAACACAAAATGCTGTACCAAAAATAATAATAATAATAAAAAAAATTAAAAGAGCTCACTTATTAGTCTGGAATGAATTGAATTCAACGCCAACTCCACAATTCACAAGCCAAACATAATCGCAAGAAAGAAGGACGATAAACAAATTAAGCAATAATTGAAACAATGTTAAATTTTGTTCCAGCCAATAAACACTCGAATGACCATCAACATTTTA